AACTCTTAACCTTAAAGTCTTAATAACTTGAAAAAGTTCTCCGATGCTTACTCTGACGCCTGGCTCGACATCTCTCAGTGACGATGGTGTTGAGCTCCTCTAGCTTGCTGATCACGGACTGGCTGATTAGGATTTCCTCCTCTACAATATGGTGAGTGAGTTGGGGTCAGTCTACGCCCTTACGTTAAAATCTATAGTACTTTAGTATTCTCTCTAAACACTTAACTTCTACTCGTGGAAGTCGCTTTGTACTTCCATTCTTAACAATCTTAACTCATAAAATTCTTCGGGAGTTAAAGTTACTCTCCCTTCTTAAAGATTAAAACTTGACTTAAATCTTTTGACTGACACGGGGATCCCTCACTAGCTAGTCCGGTTTCCAACTCATACGTATGAGAAGCCATCCGGGCTTTCCTTAAACTTAAACTTAGTTAGGGAAGTCGTAACGATTCATCCCCCTAACATCTTAAACTTATCGTGGTGGCTCTTCACCACGATTCTCAAGGGCATAACTGCTGCACATTTTACAAGTCTCAAGAGCATAACTGCTGCTTTATCTCAAAATATCTCAAAAGGCAACGGACTGGCGCTAGTGACTAAAAACACTTAAAACGACTTCACCTTCTTGAAGGTGAGTTACTTCTTTAAAAGAACTTGTTTCTTAACTTAACAATAACTTATAAACGTAAAACTTTAAATTAAATAAGAACTCATGCACATTCACATCAAACATAGCTCAAACAAAATCACATATCATCAACCATAAGCGCAATCAAACAACGACAATCACCTCATCAAAATACTTAAGACTTGTAATTCTTAAAAGAACACGTAAGGCGTAGAATTTACCCCCTTTACACTCACCTTGTAAAGATGACCCCACGATTCCTTACTCGAAGAAATCCCCCTAGCCGAATTATCTCGGTGAACCTATTAATAAGAAAGTCATCTCCTTAGTTGACCTTTCTTGATTTAGAATTCCCTTTTGGGTTACTAGAACATCCTCTCCTCTAAATCCAACCCTCGAGACTCGCTCCCAAGGTCCCTTAACCCCCTTTAAAATTTTTATAGAAACAATCCCTTCAAAATCGACAACTTTTCCTAATTATTTTAGTATTGGACGAATTTTCCACCTAACTTGAACCTTCTTAAAAATCCGGATAATAATTTTCCTACATCAACCATGAGTATCTATACCCTGGAAAATTATCAAATCCTTATAAACTCCTCGGAAATACTTTTATTTAATTAAAACGAATGTTCGAACAATTTCTAAAATTAAAAATACATCTTAAGAAATCCCCAAATTAAATTACATCCATCTCCTGGACCTTCCTCAATTTATAAAATTTTAAAACTAAGGGTGGGACAAACCCCCATAACGACTCGAAACAATTTAAACCATCTAAAACAAGTTTTTGGAAATTCCCAGCAGCTTTAGTGACCACACAAATTCTGTCACTAAAAGCCTGAACGTTTGTTGCTAAAACCCCAGAATTGCACCCTCACGAAAAATCCCCAAATGAAACGACCTAACTCAAAGGGATCGAGTTCCCTTACCTCTAGAACGTGCATAGGCATAGGTTGGATGACCCGGGACGTTGATCTCCTCGTTGATCGCACCCTCAACGTCACCGCTAATAAAAATTCGAGCTTCGAATTAGTCTAACGATGAATCGAGTTTAGAAACCACGAAGAGGTTCGTGATCCTTACCTAGAAACACGAAAGGGACGAGCTGGGAAATCGGGATCGGGATCAAGATCGGAAGCCGGAATCAACTCCTTCTTCTTCTCCTCTCGCCCGCACGGGGCTGGGGATCGGGCGGTTGATTTCTTTCGGCCCCTGGGGGAAATTGGCGGGGCTGGGGGAATTTGGTTTCTCGCTGTTGCTTGCTGGGAAGAAACGAATGGGGGCGGGGGTTTGGGGATAAAGGAGAGGGTCGGGTTTATGCTGGGACAAACAAAGTGGCGGACGGGTTTATACTGGCGGTGGGGAATTAAAAGGGAGGGGGGGGGGGTTTCTGGGGATTTCTCTGGAAAAGAATGGGGCGGGGGGTGAAATAGATAGGCCGAGGGTTTTGGAAAAGAATGGAGGGCCGCTCGGCCCCAGGTTGCTATATTCTTTTTTTTTTATAATAATAAAATAATAATAAAAGTTATTATTATTATTATTATTATTATTATTACTAATCCGCGATTGCAACTTTTAGTACGCAACTGTCAACCCAATCGATAACGTATTATGGTCGAACCATAACCCAAAATTCGTGGTGTTACAAGGATTCTGCACAACTTGCTCATCAGGTCCGTCATCCCCATTCTCAGAGCAGGCCACCTGATCACCAACAGAGGACTAATTGCCCTTCCCTCTATAAGGAATCCTAAATGCCACTCCATCTGGGAGCCATGGTTGCTACTACATTTGTTGGGTGTTTGGGGCTAAATCGGGTGGACACGATGCATCTGGGGGGCATCATCACCAAATTGGCCCGACACTTTGATGTGGATGTGACAGAGTGCTCCATTATTGGCCGGGCCGATCCATTTCTAGTGGAGACCCTCTACAACATGAAGTTGGTGCTCCGAGGAGAGAGAGGGATCAAGTACCTCGACGGACTTCGACCTTCAGCGGACCTAAGGCCGAAAGTCGATCCTACTCCAGTGGATCCCGATCCAGAGGCCCCTCCTCTAGAGCAGCCACCTACTCGAGCTCTCGGCCGTTTCCGGCGACCTGCATTTCCACGTCATGCACCTCCACCACCAGCAGTACCATCATCATCCGGAGCCGGTTCATCCACCTCCAAGGATCACCACGTGGAGAGGATGGATCGCCTCGAGACTCACAATGTGGGAATCACCACTCGGCTCGACCGCACCTCACATTTGATAGAGAGGATGGCTCAACGCCAAGGTATCCTCCCAGATGATGAGTCGGGGCCTTCGACCCGTGATGAGGTAGCCCATGAGGGAGACATGTGGCAGAGCAAATTTTTTTGCCCCACTTCTCCACTTGGAACTCTGAACTCCTTTATCCTTTTTTTATTTCCTTTTATTCAATGTGTGTGAACAATTAGTACTACTACTATCGTATTGTTATGTGTAATAACCTCGCCTCGAGCAAGAATGTGTGTGTTTGTGTTTGCTTTTATCTTCTCCTTGAAGCTCCAATCTCCTACCCCGAAAAAAAAATTCCAACTTTCACTCACCAAGACATGTTGTAACATCGTTCTATCCCTATCTTACGCCATTGAGGGAAATGTCGAGCTTAAGTGTTTGTGTGTGTGTTGGGGGGGGGGGGGGGGGGGGGGGGGGGAGGGTAGTTTATTATTATGCTTGTATGAGTGGGATTGAATGCTTGGAGCCTTGATGTATGTCCAAATTTGAAAATTTTGATGGCTCCAAGCAATGCTTGCATGATCAAAGTGGCCAGTTTGTGGGAGAATCTCGTGTTTATTGGCATTGACCTTGAATTGTTGCATGTTATCGAGTGTGTCCTATGATGATGACTGAGAGGTGCATTAGGATAGTGCCAAGGGTTAGTTCTCATGTGTGCAAAAATGAATGGATTTCTTGACTCGGTTACTTGTTGATTACACTTGCCATGCATTGTGTTTTGTGAATTGGAATAGATGGTTGGGTGTCTAAGTAGCCATGTGAGTTTTCAGCCCATCGTTTTCTTCTTGTGTGCTTAGATCCCTCTACCATGCGAGTAACAACGCAATTGTCACTAGTGAGTATGATGGAGGCATAGGATTAGTACACGCCCAAATGTTGATTGTCCCCAAATGTTCAATCCCCTAGTCAACCCCTTTGAACCTTGTCACTTTGGGGGTCGTTCTCTTGTAGGAGCTTTTCACTTGTGAGTTTAATGATGTTTGATAGAACGACCCCCCATCTTTTCATCGTGTCCATACGTGAGTCGTCCTTGTCTACCGGAGCCCATGTTTGGAGCTCCATTGAGGTTGTATATAGGAGGAATTTGGGCGGTTCTAGCTAGAAAAGAAGAGGTAGTGATGGAGTGAATTCTTAATCGAGAGAATTGTTCGTTAAATAGCATGTGTTTCACTCTCTAGGACCCCCTCCCTCAAAAAGAAAATAAAAGAGAAAAGGAAATAAAAGGAAAGTAGAAAGAAAAAGAATAAAAAAGGAGGTAATAAAACGGGGTAAATAAAGTATAGAGTGACCATAAAATCAAAGTGTTTGCTCTAGGAAGGGTTTCTTGGCCCTAAAGTCATTGAAATACCCAAATTGATGTTGAACTCCTTCACTACTATGTTTGAATGTATTTTGTTTAGGTTGTCATACTACCTCGTGTGAAATGGTTTGCTTGGGGACAAGCAAACGTCTAAGTGTGGGGGAGTGATTTAGGCCTAAATGTACTCTTTTTATCCCCATTTCTCTTTAGCGTTTGTGGCATTTGAGCTCCAAAAAGGGTGGTTTTACGTTAGGTTTGCTGTGTTTCAATGTGTTTCAGAGTCTAACAGGTGGAACCAACCCCAGAGTCGAAAGTTGGAAGAAAAGGCGCGAGGAACGAGCAAAGAGGATGAAGCACCCGCAGTTCACGATCAACGCCGTGAGTTCAAGGTCATCAAGACCGTGAACTAGAGCCACAAGCCACGAACAGAAGAGGGTACAAAGAGCTTTCAGAGGTTACTAATGCCGAGTCAGTTCACGGTCATAAGAGAGTTTCTAACCACTATTTCTCCTCCTAGCGCAATCGCCTTGTCGCACACCGATTCATTCGATCCCACGGTTCATGGTAGTTAGTTAGGGGGAAACAACTCACGACTGAAGCTTCTCACCAAGAGTTTCAACCCCTTTTACTTTTCAAGTCTTGCATTTTTAAACGTAGATTGTAGAGATTTTCACAAACTTCATTCCGCTAGATAATGTTTCAAACAATCGAAGTAGGGGTACATGGGCCGGCCCGGGTTGATATTTAAACATACTTGCCCTATATTTCACCCATTTATGGTTTATACTTTGGCTTTAAGTGGGATTTAATTGTGAGATTCGGAACGACTCATGTACCCACTTCCCATACTGGTCATCCAATCCTTCTTCATCCTTTCTTTTGAATTTGGGCAAACTCGTTGCGGATTGCCTAAGAGACCACAGTTGTAGCAGAAAACTGGGAGTTTTTCATAAGTCATTCTATGCCATGTTTTCTCCCCTTTGTTTTCTAGAAGAACTCCCCGTTGTAGTGGCTTAGACACATCGATCTTCACCCGCAATCGCATCGACGTCCTCCACACTCCCGATCTGTACTCATCAAAGATGAGGAAGATCCCCATTAAGTTACCAATTTTCTCCGCCATTGTTGTCGTCCTTATGCTGCGAGCAATCTTTTTAACTCTAACCCATATCTCCAACTGTTGAAACTCCAACTCCGCTGGTTTTTTTTTATCTCTGTCGATTGTTCGGATCATGAATGGCTGATGGTCAAAATGCGAAGTGCCCCCATAGAGGACCCGCTTCGTGTCCCCAAAACATTTGAATTGCACTGTGTAGATCTTCTCTTCAACCCAATGCATCTCAAAAGCCTTCTTTGTATTCCAAGCCTGACCCATGACCTTCGTCAACACTGTAATATTCGGATCTTTATGGGACATCAACTTCTCAATCAGACCGAGTTCTTCCATAGTTTCATCTGCTCCATTATTAAGATCCGCCTTCTCCACCGTCACTCCTTGGGTTTCCTCCTCCATCAGCAGAGGTTCTGAAGCTTGTCATCTAAATACTCCGCCATTCCTACTAAATCTCACCGACAGGAGCGTAACTCAAGATCAGGGCACACCCAAACCTGTCGCAAAAGAGAACGTGCCCTCGCTTGGAGAAGCATAACTGGCTCCAACCCAAGCGTTGATTAGACAGCTAACCCGGTGGTAGCACAAAACTTCCGACTCCACGTTAGCAGGAGAAGAAAAAACCTTTTTTCACTTGTCAACGGCAATTGATGCTTTTGTTGTTGTTTCATATTTAATTATATACTAGTTATCTAGCCCGCGCTATGCGTCGGGAAGAATATTTGAAACCCTTTACTTGTATGATCCACTTTATATAATGCCCAAAAGTGAACATAATGAAGTTTGAACCAACTTCAGCAAATGAATTGTTGTATTCTTAAGGCAAAAATCTATGAAAATCAATTAATCAAACATTATCTCGTTAATATAATAATAACTAAAATGATAACGGAACAAAAATGATGGAAAGCCGTATCCTCTAATTACTCATTAGCAAGGTGTGACTCGAATGTGTGAATATCACCTGTTAGAAACATTGGGAACAATGGTGTTGTTTGAGAAGTTTGCAATGCAATCTTTGGCTGCAGTTAAAACTTAAAATGGAAATATCAGTTGTGCAGTTTTTGTAATTGTAAGGAATTCAAAATCTATTCAAATGTAAATCCTAAACAAAAGCAAAATGATTTTATGAGGAAGTACGTTGAAAGCACCTGGTGGAGTGTCTTTCCACTCATCCTATGCATATTTAAGAGCGGGTAGATGAAAGTAAGAGTTGAGATAGAATTCAACGCTGAAACATGCCTACAACATGAAATAACATTATGATTGCTTTCCAAGGATAGCGAGAGGAGTTAGTTAACTAAGCACATCATTGAAAGAAAGGTTATTAAGTTAGAGTCCTATATACACAATAAACTTCAAACAATAAGAAACCCAATCTCCCTAGCCAAGGTCACCATGATCTAAAAACAGTAAGAAACTCAATCTCCTTAGCCCCTAGGCAAGGGCGCAAGGCCACTGTGTATTGATTAGTGATCAAATTCCTATTGTACATAAACATCAGAGTTAGTAAGAGAAGATTCATCACACTCTTCTTTAACTGACAACAAAACAACGATCAAGCTTACAACGACTTGACCTCCCACTTTTATTTCTCCCAATGACCAAAAAGTTACGTCTAGTTACTTAAGATCACTAATCAAGATCATGTTAGGAAAACCACATTTGTTTTCAATTTGACAGCTGAAACTCAAGATTTACGTACCTCATCGATTACATATGAAGCAGGGACTGCATGAAAAAAATCCAGACTGTTAAGAAACTTTACCATAGACGTTTTTTTACCCTTCTAGGATACTTCATTATCTCATCAAGATGCAACTCGGATTGTGTAACAAAACATCACCAGACATCCACATGAGAATTCTTAAGTTAGTTTTCCATTCTACACAGATCAAGAGTAACTAATGGAATGGTTCGTGCCAAACTTATTTGTATAAGCAAATTCATTGAGCAAAAATCAAGGTTATGAAGGAAACCTTGGGTAATTTGCTTTAATATCGAGCAACTTCAAAGACTTTTAAGATCGTTGGCTGAATCAATAGCATTTATCAACATAAAGAAAGTTTTTATTCATTCCATATATGAAAAGAGTTAGGTTGATAACTACACAAACATAGTAAGTAAATTAGATATAATTGAACTATTATTGACATAAAATACAACTTAACATATACACAAATGCAGAGACGTTTGTTAATCATTTCAAAAATCAGATACTTTTATATAGTACAGTCAGAGATGCTTACTTGTCAATCCTCTTGAGATGCATGAAGCTGCATTGCTTCAATAACCACAATAGTTGTATGTGTTCAACTCGTCAAACATGTTTTCATGGCAGTCTTCGAGGGAAATAAATCAACCCAAATCCTATCAATACGTAAGATGCATAGCCTAATTCAGCTTGCAAGCATATCTGTACGCACATGAAACTGATTCTCCCAAACAAACCACTAAGTGTTGTGAACTAATCAGCTCTTCTATGATTTGGATTTACCTATGACATGACTTGGATATCAGTTCTTCTATAACTTTGCATCCACCCAACATAAATTCTATAAACTAGCGAATAAGCTAAAACGAAATGAGTTAATGGTATGCAGTGAAAATGGAAACTAAAAAGAAACATGATCAAGAAAATACCAAGCTTGCCATAGAACAATCCTATTGAATATGCAAATCAGAACTTTGTATTTCAAATCCGTCGCTTCAATATCACTCTGTTGAGGTATGAAATTAAATTCAACGTTTAACAAACATAAATAATAGAAACTGCAATATGAACCGGCGTATAACCTTGTACACATCTCTTAGAAGTGGGTACCCGGAAATGAGCAGGAGCTAATATCTTGATAATCTCTGTTGTGCTGGAAGTGGATTTTCGTTTGAGCCTTTTCCGTGACTTCTTCTACATCATATTTGGATTGTGAAATTCAGAAGCAGAGTTGGTCCCTCGGGTAGATCAGAAACATATGTGGACACATGGAACAAAAGTTTAACAGTGACATAAACCTTAAATGAAAAGAAATGTACTCAGAAACCAATGTAAATTTTGGTTAGGTGATCAAGACACGAAGGATGGATTTACTTACTGAAACATGGCAATTATATTCTTGTCCATCTACTTCTAGCATGGATGTCTCTCTAGTCTCAAATGAGAAGACCAAATTAAGTGGGCATAAGAAGTTCAGAACCATAGAATCAATTTGTCAGGAAAAAAACAATCTGCGCATATAGGTGTATGTAATTAAAGGTGGTATGTGGTGCTTCGGAAGAAGAAAGAGACGAAATTCTCTTAATAAAGCTCATCCAAACCACCGCTCAAACAAAACGAAAGGTAATTTCTACCTCTTGATTTCTTAAGCCCATCTCAAGCAATAAATTAAAGCCAACATCGACTGTGTGATCAAAACCTAACATTGGAAATAACAAAAACAAAAAACAAAGAGGGAAACAGATACAAACCACGACTTTGATTTTTGTAGAGAAGTAGATTCATGGCGGCTTCAGTTTTGCAGAGGCGGCTAACCCTCGATTTTGCAGCAGAGAAGAAAGAAACGGCAACCTCCAAGAAGAGAGATTGGCGACCGAGAGGTTCCCTTCCCTCCAGCCGTTTAGCATTACAGATCAGAGAAAATATTAGAAAGCTGCAACTCCTCCAAGAGTCCCTCTGCTTCTTCCATCGATTTCGTGGAGCTAGACAACCACCTTCACAATGTAGCCCGTTCGAGCCATAACTTCGCGGAACTCTGATTCTTTTTTTGATTTCATGGAGAACAAATGGGAGACAAAAGGATGGTTGTATCTGCGCCCACCTCTGCTTCTTCTATGCGGCTGTAATTGGCTGGGCCTACTAATTAATCTACGGCATGCTTGGCCAGCCCAAAGTAGATTACACGGGCTTACGCTGTAGATGATTTTAAACCTTTATGAACAGTGCCCTCCGAAATTTTCTTTGATGAACAGTGATTCGGATTTTTTTGGAACTTGGAATTTAATAATTCTAATAATAATATATTTACACTCCTTTCTATCATCGTTTGCCTTGATACTTGTTGTTTTAGCCTGTGTTCACGATAGGTTGTATTGTCTATAGTTAACCTTATTATGAATTATCGTATCTCAATAATGTCACTCAACTATCTCAAATGCAAGCTAATTTATATTATAGATCATATACTAATTTAACAATCTGATTCTCACAATATTGACCGATTATGAGTTAAGAGGTCAACATTTAAAACTACGATATCATCTATAGTAAACCTTGTTATAGCTTTATAGGACATTGACCAATCGAATATAATGTATTTGAAAATCTATAATGAGTCATCTTATCATAATAAATAAATCTCTTATGTTATAGTGATATTACATAATGTAACACACATTATATGAACTAATTTAACAGCTTCTCATAAACACCATACTTATCTATTTATATGAACTAATTTGACTATTTTTAGGTATGAGTTTAAGATATAGGGTCATGTCTATTTTTTATCCAAATCTTTTTCAGGTTCTTTTATATAATCCAAACCTATTGAAATACTAAGAATTAGCAAAATGTTAACTTCCAGTTAGCAATTTTGTTAGTAATATTGACTTGGCAACATGATCCTGACTTGGAAGAGACACATGAAGGTCAACATTGCAAAATTTTAGCATTTTAACTAAGAAAAGAGTTACAAAATTGTTAACGATAACGTAAAAATGGCTAGTATTTTGTTGCATTACGAAAGATTGGCTAATTAATAGTATTTTTATAGGTTTGAATAATATAAATAATCTGAAAAATGTTTGGATAAAAAATAGACATTAACCTAAGATATATGTAGGATTGTTTATGGATTTATTAACTAAATTACTAATTAGTTTCAACAATCACTTGTTTTGTATTCTTCTATATTTATTGCAAGATCGTTATTTACAACAATGAAGTACAGATTTGACCCATTTAAGTTGTGCTCAAGTTGTATTTTGGATTCAAAATGATGTTTAACCTTTATCTTTTAAGTTATACGATTGCAATAACTCAATCTAAAAGAATACAAAATTGATTTAGAACTCTGACAAGTTTTAAAATTTTTGAAGTACTTCTACCAAAAAAACTATTATAAATAAATATATGAGGTAAAATAAATTTTCTAAAAATTGCAGGAAAATATTTCAAATTAGTGTAAGTTGCAATGAGCAAAAAGTAAGTAACACAATGCGTTGACCCAAATAACCCGCAACTCGATCAGCTCGCAACTTGCCCCACCCGTAATCCAATTGACCCGCAACCTGATGAAACTGCAACCCAACTAATCCATAACGAGACTAACCTATAACCTGACTTATCCGCAAGAGATCACATCAATCGCTTCTCAACCATGAAGCACCAAGAGATCACATCAACC